GGTAAGAAGAAAAGAGCCAGGATATTAACCAAGAACGAAAATGAATGATTGGGGAAGATAAGGATGAGTGGTGGAAGAAAGGAATACTTGAGAGACTACTCTGCATCACCCCGTCAGTACGTGGACCGACTCCCCTCGAGGGACTTAACTTTTGCTGTTTAATCAATTTTTCTTGAACATTAGAATGTGTAGCTTAGGTGTGGTTAGGTTGTCAAGTGAAAGTAGGTAGATTCTGAGAGTGGAGTACATTATTTTATAATTTATATCTGGGGAATCCCAATAAGCGAAGTATAATGTGGGTTTTAAAAATAAATTGTTGTTTCGAATGCTGAAACCTACCGTTAAACCTATTAAATTTTTCATAATTAAGAATATCTATTATGTTCTTGACATTATTTTAAGATATATATTATTGAATAGTCGTTTTTCGTCCTTACGTACAATTTATTCACTCGTAATAGAGTGGCAATAAAAGTTTGAATAGAATTTATAATAACATATATACTACCATAAATCGTATACGAGAAAATGTCAAATAGTCAAATGGCACTCTCGCGATTTACTTCCTTAGATTTTCGCTCCTTTTAACGCTACAGATAGGTAATATAATGGCATCCTTTATATTATCCAACTATTAATTAGATTTAAAAATTATTATTTTTAGATATGATTACAAATCACGAATGTGCTTTTGATGTAAACTTTCTTTGGTCCATGTTGGAAATATTGTAACTGTTTACCTCAGAAACAAATGAAACTCTGCTTTGCCTATCCTGGCCAACTACTTCTATATGTTCGTCAATTTTACTTGTATTACGAATTCATAACAGAGAGAAGTATTGAAAACGCAAATATGCAGATCAATTTGAAGAAACTAAACACATAAGTAATAAAAAATATTTGAATCCGCGAAGCAACAAGAATAATATATTGTTCCCTGCCACATGAAAATAACAAATTCATTATAGATCATTTGCATTTTCTGCTTCGGTAAAGTTGAGAACCTATTATCGAACTTCAACAGATAAAATGATGGGAATATTAAGTTCAGGAACCAAGCTGAATCCTGCAAAGGAAGATATTGCAAAATTGAAAAGCAACCGTGGACGAAAATGTTCACTGGAAATCAACAATTCAAAACAGGTAGGTTAGAATCCAGAATCTTTGAATTTTCACAAACACATGATTGTTAATTCACAGTATTTTACTTGGAAATTACGTGACTCGTATCACCAGTACACATACTAGTAACATCTGAAAGAATCTAACACGTAATCTCGCGCAGAAGCCTGGAGGATGGCAATGTACCGACTTGAGCTGCGTAAACCATTTCCATACATTTAGAATTGCTTGTATATTTTCTCCCGGTCTTCCAGCGTTTACGATGGACTGGTGCAAACGATACATCATTGTTTAACACAAAATTGCGAAAAAAAATTAAACATAATTACCTTTATATATTTTTTATTAAATTCATAAATAATTTTATTTTCATTAAATGCAAAGTATATTGACTTCAACTTTAAAAATTGATTCACAAAAAAAATTCTCGAATTCCTTATTGGTCGAAGCAAATAATATACTCCATTTTAGGTATTAAACGTGACTTTTAGTTGTTTCTAATTGAATCCTTCGCTGAGACTGTCCATATTTTTTTCTGTATATTAATGTAGCTTTTTCCTCCAAATGTCAAATAATGTGTTTACTGTTTTATACGTTAAATAAATAAACAAATAAATACAAGTAAATACACGAGACAATAAAATAATAAAAGCTTTTCTGAGGCCATGAGCTCTTAAAAGATAAATCGTATTGATGAATTTGAATTTATTATGAACTTCATGAATAAGAGTTTTTATTACAGTAATTTACGTTCAATAATTACATTCTTCTATGATAAACGACCTATGATAAAAGGCAAACAGCATCCTTGTGCTGTTTGTCTTTGACAAATGTATGAGAAAACTTTTGCGAGAAAATAACAACGATAGCTATGTATTTTTATATACTATCATGAAATCAGAACATATTAATATATGGGTTCGCTGATTACACGATATTTTCTATCGAAACTACCATAACTTCTTTTCTTATTTTGAACGAGATTTCAAATAATTAAGGTCAGTTTTTGAAAACTGCCATTTCATTTTTCTTAATATTAGAACGTGTAAAACCTTTCAGTAATTCATCTCGTGCGTTCCAAATGCAATGTAGACACTATTATTATATCATATATTTCTAATATGCTATTCAAATAATATTGAAGATCTTACAAAATACTCGGTGTTGTTTGTTGATTAAAATATTTTGAAAGATAAACCCAATATGGTAGTATGTTATTTAACGAAGTTTTTATCTTACATTCAAGCGTAATCATTGAATAGGCGATACATTACGTCTTCTTAACTTTATTCGAAGTAACATAATGTGAATTTCCTTTGCAGATGTCATACTATATAAATCCATGACAACTGCTGATCAGTAATGATGGTCAAATGATCGCGACAATAAGCGGAATGCAGAGTTCAGGAAGGTGACGTAGACCCAGAGAGGAGTGGTGTTTAGAAATCATGCCGTCGCATCAATTTAAATTTTGCCGCAAGGGTAAGTCTATAACAATTATATAAATCCGGCAATTTATAGAAGAAAAAATCAAAGAAAATAAGGGTTTACATAATGTTTTAAAATATATGAAAATCGAGTTATTTTGATGAAAGGAAATATATTTAATTACTCACAAATGAAAACGTGAATGAACAAGATTTATCCACTTTGTCGTTACCTGGGCCAGGCAATAAGAGTTTTTGTGCCGGAAATTCACCATTTTACGGTGAACAATTACAATATTTCTCTTCTTTCGAAACATGTGTGAGAAAGTAAAAATGAAAAAGCACAACTTATAATTTATTGAGAAATTATTTTATTGAATTAGACATTTGTTTCATAGATTCTTGCTCAAATAACAATGTCATAGGACATATGACTAATGTATTTTGATGTATCAGATAAAGGTGCTATTGATACATTATATATTCCTTAAGAATATTTAATTAAGGTTCCTTGGGGTAATAGTGCAATGGAGTGATAAGAGATTATACGAATCACTTCTTAAAGCCGCTCGAAGCACTTCTGTTCCAAAATGCACTTCTCACAAACGTCTAGAATCCTTCACAATTTAAATTTTAAACTACTGATGTTACAGAATGACACAGTTTCCTATTACTACATAGTTTTTTAACGTCTTTAGTCTGGACTAGCTTTTAGGTCTTGCACCATCTTGCCAGCCCTATTGCCGCCCGAAGTATTTTTTTTTAAAAATTTTCCCAATGTTTCGGTTTCCTAATCGTAGAACAGAAATATTACTTTATAAATATTAAAGAAGAGTAAACCCTAGTGCTATGTGGACGTTTCATTGCTATTGAGCCGTTTTTTAAAAATATATTTTAAGAATTACTGATAATGCGAAATTGGAAGCTCTTTTACATAGAAAGATTTTGAGTTTTCGAGAAACTTCACTGAAAGTCATTTGAACACTTCCACCCACTAATGCAATAAATTATACAAATTGCTGGAAATGTGCCAATTAACGGCGTGATATATATTACAAAAATCACATTTGCGCAATTTTTGAAAAAATCAAAGAATACAGAAAAAAGAATCGTTTAAACAGTGTATTTAGACGTATGTCTACAAGAAATTTAAAGACAAAAATGGAGACGTTTTTAAGAAATTGGCTTTCGAGCGTTTCTGAAAATGTGTAAATTTGAGAAATTTTCGCAGATAGTTTTGAGTTCTCTATACCATTAAAACACATCATTCCAAGCACGTGTCTTAGCAAATTCATTGATGTATAAAAGTTACACGTAATATAAATATTTACTTTTGAGACAGATGTCAAAAAGTTACATTGTTGTAATTAATTAGATCTTTCAATTAGTATATCTAGTAATCTTTTTCAGAATATGCGTGTTTTTCGCGGACTTTTGTGAGAAATCGTGAAAAAATACTTAAGGAATTATTTTCACAAAGCGCTTTTACTTTTCTCTTTAAGTTTCTTGTTGAAATAAAACAAAGTTCACTTATTTTTATATTAATATTTCTGATTCCAATTTAAAATACTGGAAATTCGAAAAGTTTCCAGGTTCTATTTATTTCGAACAAGCCTTACACCTTCAGTACTTAAGGTAGATATTTCTTTTTTAGGGCGAAATTTTTCGTGAATATTTTTTCTCACAAAAAATTTGTGTAGTCTTCAGTTATAACGTACAAGTGGTGGTTGAAGTGTTTGTAGAGTAGAAGATGCAATATTACATTAGAAAATCGTCATTAATACTACGGAAAAGCACATGCTGTACGACGACTATTATCGCATGAAATTGAAACATTCCTTTTTACTCCTTTTTTGTAATTCTGTCATTTTATGGCTGCAACCCGTTGCATAATGAATTATACTCATTGTCATTACGATTCAGACTTCAATATGATTCAGGATCTTGACCAATCAGAAAAATTTATAAACCAAATATTGACACTGAATTAATCATTAATAATCATTCTAGTAAATGTTTCGCTTGATTGTGTGCAATAAAATCGCATTTAATATTATATTTCCCTGTTTTAATTTCATTTATTATTAGTTTTTTACGTGGAATATTATTTAAAATAAATTGGATCGTAATGTCACTTTGTTCCTATTTGACTAGCGCAGTGATAAACCAAAGCTAAAGCGACCTTGGCTCAATCCTGCTTGTCAACTGGCAAGAAAAATGTTCAATGTAAAAGTTTAACTTACAAACGTTGCCGTACGAAACTCTATGAAATGGTTATTAATACACTCGTATAAAGTTGACGTAATATCACACTCTTGTAATAATACTCATCATTAACATAATCGTTTCACAACGTCCTCTTGGAGTGAATTGTTTGGTTCCGCCCTGTTCCATGCGAACACTCGCTGGGAGAAGGTGGCGTGGGCACCAACGGGTCTGACCTCTGCGCAGTGAAGAGGCTGCGGCGCCTCGCCACCACGCTGGCCAACGTGGCCGACGTGGCGGAGCTGCTGCAGCGGCACGCCGTCCTGGTGCACTGCAGCACCGTGCGCGACGCCCGCGGCGTGCCCTCCTTCGGCCCCACCACGCCGCTCTCCGCCAAGCAGTAAGCAGCCTCGGCGCGCCAAGCAACGTTATCAACGACTATTAACGTTAATTTCGGCAAACAACTTCACTGTGATGTCACGGGTATTTGACAAGGGTGCCGTAAGTCGCCTGTTCGATTTACGCATAACTGCCCAAGATTCTCTCGCTGCCATTGGCTGAATGATGAATTGGTGGAGTGCCGTCTTTCGATCCCAATACGTCGCTCTGCGACACATGGCAAGCGCCTCACATCACTTCGTTGTTACATTGACATTGACGTATCAGGTCAAGGCTTTTACAATGGATATTTTTTGTATTGTAGCATTATAAACAACCTCTTTCGTTACAAGAAATTGTTCGTGAAAGGACATCTTACGGCACACATTATTAGTAATTTTGCCGTTCTTGGAACGAATAATTGTGTCATCACATATTCTGCAAATCGTAGCGAGTGTTTTTTGGGGGAAGTAACAGAAAAACTGAACAGCTGACCACAATTGTTCTTCACCGATGTCAAATAACATGTAAATAAAATGAGTGCCGTCACACTCAGTGCTAACGACACTCAAAACCCAAAACAGTCTACTGATGAAATGGCCATGGTCAGCTGGCGAGAGCATTGAAACATTTAATAAATAATAAATAATAAATAATAAATAATAAATAATAAATAATAAATAATAAATAATAAATAAATAAATATAAAAATAAATTAAATAATAATAAATAAATAAATAAATAAATAAATAAATAAATAAATAAAGAAATAAATAATAAATAAATAAAAATAAACTAAATAAATAAAAAATTAAATAAATAAATAAATTAAATAAATAAATAAATAAATAAATAAATAAATAAATAAATAAATAAATAAATAAATAAATAAATAAATAAATAAAAACTTGCGCAAAATATGCGTAAAATGGATGTGACCCTTCCACCCCGTTCCAGAGCTCAGGAGGCCATCCACCGCCTGCAGTCGGGCCGCTCCCACGACGGCATGGTCTCTCCTGGCGCGCCGGGGTGTTCGGCCGGCGCAACCGCGGTCGCCCTGTTCGCGCAGCCTCCGGACGCGGCCACGCCCTCTGCGCACCCTGCTCTGCGCTGGAAGCACCCGGAGCTCTTCCCAGGTGGGGCCCGTGCACGCCACACGACGGTAACGAAAATGTATAGCAATGGGTTTGAGAAAAGCGTGATTCACGAAAGGGGAAAGAAATAGAATGAGGAACTCTCAAATGAATAAATATCAGTTAAATCTCTTGTCACGTAGAAAACCTAATGTTTTTTATTATTTTGATAAACTTATTTTAGCATACTTTCTGTATTTTTTCTTTAGTTTCAAATATGCATAAACCATGATAATGTGAGGGTGTGGCGTTCGGCACTGGTACCGCGTTCTCCAGTTAAGAGGCATCTGTAAGGCGGCGACGATGACGGGTAATATGAGATCAGACTCATGAATGAATTTATGCTGTTGAGCTTGCAGTAATTCATTTCTGTACTGCCCAAAGTCTCTGTCAGTGGTACCCCCCGCCCCCGATCTCACCGCCCGACGTCCGTGCCCTACCTCAATGAATATTCCCTGGTCAATCTGGTCCTACGTGAAGAACTGCGATTTTAAAAAGAATTATTTTTAAAATAACCCGATTTTTTCAATAAATACTGATATTTATGTTATTGTATTTAATGTGGCATGTAAACATCACCTCACCAAATGATGTTGAGCAATAGATGATGCAGCTGGTCAGATGCTGTTAAAATGAAGTCAATAGTCCCGGACTTTTTACACTAAGTTTTAATATTGACAATTTTTGTATGAAGTGCTCCCCGGTAGTTTTTAAAATTTTGAACTGTAAAAAATGTAAATTGAAAAGGGTTTTTTACAAATCGGGATCCAAAATATAATTTATTACAGAGACCCAATAGTGATAGAAACATAAATAATATCTTGGAAAAACAAAAATCAATGTGCCGATCCGGTGGCCGAGATCGCTAAGGTAGTGGTGCCGGGTTCGAGTCCCGCATCGGGCATGGTTGTATTGTGTTTCATCCTTTCACCCCCTATCATCATCATTATCGTGTCAACCCACAGTTACCATACCGTTACAAGCAATAGTGGTCGCTAATGACCTAGTAGTTGATGCGACCTTAAATAATAACAAAAAAAATCAATGCGACTGTATTTTCAGAAAAAGTTCAGACTACTTTTACAATAACTAAATAACACAAGATGTTTCTTAAGACATTTATTTCATTTCAGGAACTATTATGCTTCCCAACCTGGAGATGACCCTTCCTGAAGAGACTCAAAATCAAGTTGACGATCGCTTCGAAGACAGACATGCAGTCAAAAAGCAATTCGATCAACCATTAACGGACACGAGAACAAATAATCACCGAACAGGATTTGACTTGCAACATATCAAGGAGTCAACAAAAGCTGAAATCCCTCTCATCCACCCACATTTGGACGCCAATGAAAATAATACACGCAATACCCCCGGAGGCGATTCGACTTGTACAAACAGTGAACAGCCGCAATCTGCTCCGAAAACAAATAAAACTCATGATACTGGATACTCATTACAAAATGACATGAAAGACTCTCAACTTCATACAATGGATGGGAAACCTACTAGTGAGAATAGTATGAAGATGAAAAATTCGTGTACATTGACCGAAGGCACAGTCGCTGAACACTTAGATTCAACGGACACGAAGTTGCCCAAAGAGAAATCAGACTCTGACAAAACTCACAGCGAGAGCGACAATCATGTGCTTAAGTGGACGCTCGCTGCTAGCCAGATCCACTTCAAACCTCTTCTCCAAACCCCAAACCGGCCGATTCAACCGCTCGCGGACGACTTCATGCTCGTCATGCACCTTCTCGAAAAAGACCACAAAAACGACCCTAATTACCTCCGATCCATCGGCGTGGCAGTTAACAACAACCAAGCGCGGGCTCGGTGCACGGCCTCAAAGCGGTTGCAGACATCTAGGACGGTCCTCCCGACGCCTCCCAAGCCATCGTTGGCCTCCTCGGCGAACCGCGCGCAGAAGCTCAGCCAAGGGATTCGACGGTGTCACCGTTCGTCGGCGACGCAGCGGCGGCAAAACCGCCGCGCGCCGAAACCCAGCGCGCAGAAGAAACCTGGCGGCGGCGGCGGCGGCCCCGCGGTGCGCCCCACCGCGAACGGCAAACAGGGCGTCTGCAAACCGTGCGCAAACGCGGCGCCGAAAGCGCCCGCCGTCCAGAAGCACCAGTCGAGCACCTCCCAGCGCGGGCCCAAGTCCTCCACGGCCGTCGCGCAGCAGCGAGCCGCGCCCGAAGCGAAGCGCGTCGCGCAGGCGCCGGCGGCCACCCAGAAGAAGCTCCCGATCGTCACCTCGGGGGCCAGCCGCGCCTCGCAGTCGTCCGTCTCCAACACGCCAACCAGCAAGCCACTGCTCACACCCAACCTGCGCCGCGTCCTGGAGACGTCGACCGCCAAGACCCAGACCGTGCTCAAACGCGCGGCGTCTGACTGCCAGCGCCTTTCGCGAATCTCCACCCCTAGCACGAACAGCCTCCTCAAACGCGTGGCATCCGACCTCAAAAAGATATCACGCGATTCAATGACGAGCTTTCACAACCTTCAGCAGATGGGGAGTAAACTCTGCGTCCAGAAACCGTCCTCTACAAGGACAGGGGAAGGTGCGTGTCTCAACAACTCAATCATTTATCATAAAAAAAGTAAAGAACCTTTGTCCCACTCATCTCGCGAAATAAAATGCCATATGCCGGTTGTGACAACTAGTGTGGAACGATACTCCGTAACCAAAATTACTACAGAAAAACCATACGTTACTAAGTCAACTCATAAGTCCAATACAATGGTGGCGAGAAAAAGTATTACAAGCAATCCAGTTTCTATAATGCCCGTTCTAGAAGCCAATCCAAAACCTCAACACAATAATAAAAAAAAGAATCCGTTTGATGGATCACACTCACAAGATTACAGCACTAACACACAAGATGCGGGGAAATATACTTCATTTATTCCGTGTTCTAAGATTCCGCTTCCCAAAACCAGCGAAAAATTAATTCAAAACTCTGAAAAAACTAACCCTTGGGAAGGACTACGGCCTCCAGAATGTTGCACCAATTCTCTGCCGCAGAATTTGACGCCTCCCCCTTTGTTTCAGCTACAACTTCCTCCTGCTGAAAAGACTACAGTCCAGCCGGTTGGTATACATAACGTTTGGAATGGGATACAATCACTATCAACAAAGGCTACACTGCTTCCGAAGCCTCCGAGCTTGCCTCCATTTCATCCTCTAATCAAAGAATGTGTTTCCCAACCTGAAGAAACAAACATAGGTAACCAGCCTCAGCTTTCAGAAAGTGAAGGGAAAGAATGTGTTTTTTGTGCAGATGTTTTGTCAGCGTCAGACATAAAAGATAATACCAAAGAAGATATTGAGAGTTTTGCGACTCGCGACACATTGGCGGTTTCGGCAGAATCAACCCTAACACACACAGCAACCACGAAATCTTTAATCTCTCACTCACAGACATCGCAGGAATCATTAATGGCTGTCGAGACGCTGTCTTCGCGAAAATGTTCCTTGTCCTCGTCCGCATCGTCCTCAGGTTCGTTTTTTTCCTCGGATACCGCCAGTCAGTCGGAGATGAGGAGTGTAAACAAGAACAAAAGAGATTATTCCACTTGTGATGATTCGCAAAGTGTCGCCTCTGGAAAGTCTTCGGCTCCTTCGAAGAAGCGATCGCCCTTCTTTCGGAAAGTAAAGAACATATTCAGGAACAGATTCTCCCGGTGCAAAACCAAATTGCCCTGTATGAGATCAAGAGGATCTGGATCAAGCGGATCTCGAGCCTAAATTAATGCTAAAGGGAAATGCACCAATTCTGAAAATTCTTTACTGATATGAAAAAGAAAATGGCATAAGTTTTGAACAATTTTAATTTGACTCGACTGGCAAATCCTTAGAATGGTATAGAAACGTTTGTCGATGAATA